ATAAGTTGAATTTTAAGATATCTACTAATCAACTATACTAAAATTGTACCGTAACCTTCTAAATTTGTTAAATTTGTACTTGTCTTTAAATCAATATCCATCCTTCTTTAGAAACTTTATCGTTTGCTCATACAACCTTCATCACTTTTCTATGTATATCCTTACAAAATTACTTTTTAAATAGTATTAAACTATTATTGTTATAATACATTAAAATGAAATAAACAAAAGGTTCTAACTCAGAAGAAAGTAGAAGCATCACGTTCCCGCATTTTTCCTCTTTTTTTCTCTGTTATTATCAATACCTTATGTCAAAATAATTGTTCTATTTCACATAATTAAAAATATTATTAGGAGGTTTCACTTTTGCAAAGTTTTGTGGAATTTTCCTTTCTTCATATTCGCGAGAATCTCTTGAAATTAAGCTACCTAAATTCCTTCTTATCGATACACGTTAAAATCGCCACACAAAACGACACTTGCGCCACACAGAGGTGCTAGCTTCACTGTTGTAAGTTTATTAGCACGCAACCACTTATAAAATAGTATCTGTAAATTGTTTTAAGTTCAGTCTTCGTAAAGTCTCCTTAAAAACTATTTCTTGTTTCATTTTGTTTCTTTTTCTTTTTTTTTTTTTCGGGGAATCAAAAAGCTTTACACAACTGAAGAACAACAATTCCAGTTATTTCCCATATCGTTGTTCGCATTTATTGTACTTCTCCAGCAAATGTACGAAATCTTTCGCAGTTAGGCTAATGTGTAATGGTAACGAGCTGAAATAAGAACGTAGGGTGTCATTGTATGTTAAACATCGAAAACAGCATGTACACAGTCAAGGTAAAAATAGTATCGACTTAAACGTACAAAAATTCTGTTATACGTGTTTGCCAAGGTAAAACACCATACGTGGAACAAAGGCGGCCATAAATTAATCCCAAATCAGGGTCTGGGATTCCCCGTGAATTTAATTTTTCATCAAGTAAATCAATATCTATTTCTTCCGACTTAATCGTTCCCGTAACGACAGCTTCAGCTAATGTTTTCGTTAATGTTACTATTTCCCCTTTTCCGTCCAGCCAAGACAATAAACATACCCGTGTTTTTGACTTGGAATCTGCAAATTAAAAAGAATTCGATCATCACCATGTGTACCAATATTATACAACTAAATAATCATTAAAATCGCGATTTTTTTATTTGTTTCACACAGAAACGTACCGGTTATTCCATTCTGTGCAAATCTTGCATTGGGCTTACCCCAATTTATGCGCTCCATTAGATCAGGCCGTCTATTTGCAAGTTCGTATTTCAGCAAACTTTCATTTCGGACTAAGAAACCTATAACAGGAAAACTGATAATTAGATACAAAAAAAGCACTGTATTATCAGCAGCAGAATTATCTGGAGTAAATATGCAAATTATTTATGGTATTTTTAGGTCGTAATAATTTGGTGCCCGGCAAAGTGGTAATTGATAACATTTATTTTTCAAGGCGTTTTTCAAGTGTTTTTACGATCGCAAAGTATCGATATACTTCGTGTCACTTTTTGTGGTGAATTTTATGAAAATTTTTCTTGTTATTTGGTACTATGTCGATAGTTAAATTTTTGCAATTAACCGATTCTAAATTTAATATCGCAGTTTACTATGCATAATAATGCATGTCGCGCGTCTATTTGATTTATCCTTGACTGTAAATAGAGAAATATTTGTCTAACATTGCATTATATAATTCCAAATATGTAGATATTGTTTTAAGAAATACATTCTTTTTAAATACCTCAAGTTCTAACTTAAAAAAATTTTCTGCTGTTATAATATTTAGTTTACAATGATTATATCAAAGACAACTGTCATAAATTTTAAATAATCAAATACACACAATGCATTATTTTAAGATTTACTATTTGAAACATTTTGTACTTATCAAAGCACTTTGTGTTGTTATGTGAATATACTAAATGAGACCAGATGGAATTTGAGTTAGTAGATAATTTAATCAACAGTTTATGATAAATACTTTTTATGTTTAAAAAGAAATATTTTTCTACATAGTTGCAGCCTATAAAAATTGTGCATCATTTGCATGATTTGAATAAAACATGTTTCAGAACACAATTCATAACCATTTATGCATAAGTTTAAGTTTGGAATTTTATAAAAGTTGTTCAGAAAAACTTGACTTGAAAATGCATAGACTGTAGATGTATTAGTTCAAAGGAAATCTCATTATCAACATAATGTTCAAAGGTAATTTAGATTTGAGGTTAGACTAAATAATATATGAGATAAATATGTATGCTCAGAAATATTAACGACAAAGGGATATGCCTGACCAGGTATATAGTTCATCATGAAAAATTGATGACATAAAGTTACTAAATACATTATCTTTATCAGAAACTGAAATAATAGTTATTTTAAGATAAAATTTATGTCATGAAGTACTCCAAATATTGACAGAACCATTGTTTCTACACCCTTTATAAAAAAATTACGGTAACTACATTTTGTTTCCACTTTTCTCATACACAAATTGCATGGAAACATGCATCAAAAATGATAAATGTAACATGGCTGGCAAAAATACATAATCTTCCAATATTTGAATACAATGAGTAACACAAGAGACATGTGATAATACAAAACCTATTCATCACAGTTACATCAGAAATTCACTTCTATCATTTTCGCGCGCCCAACCAATTTCTATAATACAGTAACAAAAATTACGTTTAAAAAATGAAAGGAATACAATTGTGTAACGTCAATAGCAATTTTATTAAAGCGAGAAACAAAGATAAACATTACCGTTGATATCAAAGAAACTGATGTACGGTACACCAAGCGTAATACACCATCCAATAATTCGTATGCAATCGAATAATATATCATCTTCCTTCGCGCCGAAAATGACCACTATATGTCTCGGTAAATTTTTCATTCTGTTCGCGGTACGCGTCAGCATTTCGACCTCTGTCCTTAAGTTTTCGCCGTACCAGATCTCGATACACTTACGGTGAAGGATCATGAAGCAATTATGAACCGCAGTAAGTAAGTCACATGAAAAGTGGAGTAGTATTAATAATATGCGAAATACTGTGACCATAATGCCGTCCAGTGATCCGCGGCTCTATGTAACATAATCACTGGCGAAACTGGTGAAAAGACAACTGCTTTTCAAAACTACCCGGGGGAACGTCACGAGGAGACTCGTGCACCTAACCACTGACTCGTCTAGCAGACGGTCACCTCACGTGTGCACCTGCTCACGTTGAATGACGTACGCACTCTTCTGTCGATGAGGAACACTAAAACTCGACATGTTATTCGTTACATTACATGAACGTTTCATCATCTAGTTATGTTACTAATTGGCGTACCCCTGCGATTATATTATCGAAACACAGTTTTACGTTGTTTAAAACAATGCGTTTCACGCTTATCTGAACGATAGTACAGGCAATGCCGTATGATTACATCGTTAGAAGACGATATACCAACAATTTATCTCCTAGTTACTTTATACGAGAGGTTAGGTTTTTGCGCAATAAATATTTTTTATTAGCGAAGGTGGCAGATTTGCCAATTAAGTAAACAATAGTCAGGGTCATGGAAGAAATGTATGAAGATAAAATATATTCAGTACTGTTTGATTGATATCAAGGTCATATTGGGTTGGACGATGGAATTAGATATAAAGGAAGATCGGCTAGAATTCAACTAAGCAATAAGATTTTTAACAAAACATGGCTATATTAATTATGAAATAAATTAAAAATTGTTATGAAAATATGAGCGACATAATGTTTTCAATGTATCGGCACACTAAAAACATTTTGTTCACTATAACTGTACTGAATTTTTAGGTTATGTTTAATTTATAAGAGCTGCAGCTGCAATTGCTGTTTATCGAAGTTTTGAATACACTATGATCAAAAAAATTATCGGCTTACAAGTGTATCTGAACCATTAAAATCTGTTATCATGTACATAATGTAAATATACTTTAAAAAAAAGTAAAAAATGTTAACAATGAAATACATTAATATAAAAATTGATTCTAAAATGTAATTTTGAAACATGAATCTTGTTAAAAATTGTATGAATTTCAGTGAACAGAATAAGGATTAGTAATTCTTGCAAAATTATGTACATATTATATTAAATTTTATAGAATTTGCAATGCTACTATTTTTACAATTAATATCTTAATATTTTTTAAACATTCATCCTACCATATGTTTGTACTGCGCATGCGTAGTACCACGTTCTGGTATAAACAGTATAAAACGTGAGTAACGAAAGAAAGTGCCGCCAATTTGTATTAACGAATTATAATACTTATACGAACAGTATAGTGTAAGCATTACTTCTAACGTATCGATTAATTAACAGTTTAGACAGTGAAAAGTGCCTTATAATTGTGTAAGAATAGAAATTCTTTCATTTCACGATCATTACTTTTCATAGGTTAGGCACGTGGTTTTCGTTATGCTTATTCAATATATTATATGTATTTTTGAATTAATAGTAGGATGAACTTCATTTTTTCAGTAAGTGTAGAATAGAAAAATGTCATTTCGGGGTCGTGGAGGTGGCGGATTTGGAAGAGGTGGTGGAGGTGGATTTCGTGGTGGAAGAGGCAGAGGAGGATTTCGAGGAGGACGTGGTGGTGATAGAGGAGGAAGAGGGTAAATATTATATTTAATGATCGCATATTAAAACAAACTAATAATAGTTCAAATATTATAGGTTTGATCAGGGTCCACCAGAAGAGGTGACTCCCTTAGGTCACTTCACATGGACAGTCCAAGATGATTTAGTTGCTAAAGTAGATATAGAGCAAGTACCTTTCTTCAATGCTCCAATTTATACAGAAAACAAACAACAAATTGGAAAAATAGATGAAATATTTGGTAATATTAGGGATTATTATGTGTCCATAAAACTTTCAGATAATATGAAAGCATCTAGCTTCCAGAAAGATACACAGGTATATTTATTTGCAAATATAAAATGAAGTTGGTCATACTATATTCAACAATTACTACTATGGTGTTATATTGCAGTTATTCATTGACCCTGCAAAGTTATTACCTTTGCAAAGGTTTCTGCCTAAAGCTCCTGGTACAGTACAAAAAAGAGGAGGTGGTGGACGAGGAATGAGAAGGGGCGGCGGAGGTGGTGGTCGCGGTGGTCGAGGTAGGCCATCATTTGGACGTGGTGGTTTCGGAAGTAGGGGCGGTGGAGGTGGAGGCGGTGGGTTCAGAAGCCGCGGAGGAGGAGGATTTGGACGCAATGATAGAGGTCATGGCAGAGGAAAGTGGTAGAAGAGTAGACTATGATGAATTTTTATGTAAAGACATTATATTATAAGAATACCTTAATTTCATTAAACGGACTAAAATATGGACAATTATTAGTATGTAATCAAAAAAAGAGAAACATAATGAGAACAATATATGATTTACTATTTCCATCAACACTTTGTTAAATAATAGTTATCTTTTGTTTTTATAACTGAATTCATAATACAAAACCTCTTATGTTTTATTTATATACATACAATTATTGAATATATTTCACAGGAAACGAGTTCACTATCTTTACACTTCATCAAATTTAATATGCTTCCCGAGTTCCTTTTCTGCTTTTTTTAGCAATTTATTCCTCCCCCTTTGTTTTACTTTAACCCTTTTACTTAATTTTTCCTCTCTATCATGTAAGATTTTATTCCAATACATTTTTTCTTCTTCACCTGTGCAGTAAAAGAGATGAAGTTATGTGTCAAGATGTATACAAAATAATACTCTTACCTTCTAATATTGTCATGTGCCTTTCTTCATTGGGTTTTTGCGTAAACGTTTGTGCATTTTCGTTTGTGTCACATCTTATATACGCAAGGCACGAACCATCTTCAACATCTATATATTTTACAAAACTATTGGCTTTTAATTCAATCTGAAAAGATGCACAAGATATACATATGGTACGTTTATTTTATATACTTGTACTATCCTATAATCGAAATATATACCTTAAAACCTTTTGGATCTGTACATGGTTTATCCATTTCAATTTTAACTATAACTCCTGGAGTAAATGAAAAGCGACACGTAGTCGGATTATCCTTCTCGTCGTTTTCTTCTTTTTCTGGTTTATTTTTCTCGTAATTTGACCACTGATTCCATCTTGTTTTCCTCAAATGTTGTTTAAGTTGCTTCATTTTACTTCTCTGTAATTCCAAGTATTTATTTCTAAGATATTTCCAGTCTTTTTTAGCCATCACTTGAAGCCCCATGCAGTAACTGAAATCCTCCATTTTACTTCGCTTCTTCCGGTTTTTCCTTTTCTTCTTCTTTTCATTGGTATTTTCTTGTTCTTCAGTAGTTAGTATTGCACTATTATCAGTTACCATTTGGTCATTTTTGTCATAGTCTTTTGCTACTTGTTCCTCATTTATAGATACACTTTTTTTACATTTATTTGATTTCTTTGATGCACTTTCTAAGGAAATATCAGTTTGTTTTTCATCACTTGAGTTTGCTCCCGCATTATATACATCATCAGAGTGTTTAAACTTTTGCTTTTTATTTTTTATTAATTCACTATCCATTGGTTTTTCCATTTCACCAGTTTCTGAAGATTCTGTATCTTTATGCTTTCTCTTCTTTATTTTCTTTTTATTTTTATTCTCATGATTTTCTGAAGTATTATCAGTATTTACATATTCCTCGTTCTTTTCATTATTTTTATTAATTTCAACATTTTCTGAGTCTTCATACCCAGCAGTATCTTCATTATAGTTGTTCTCTTCATTTGCTATTACTTGTTTCCCTTTTAATGTTATATCTTTCTCTGCATCATTAAATGTAGCAATACTTAACAGTTCATCAGGAGCTGTATATGAAGGTAAAACACAGCCTTTTTTCTGGAATGCCTACAAAAATCATTAGTATGACAGTAAAAAATAATTTAAAACTTTTTGTCAACACATATGTAAACCATTTACCTTTAGACACTTTTTAGCACCTTCAGGTGTAGCAAATTCTACAAATCCAAAACCTTTTAGTTTTTTATTGTTTTGAAATCGTGGAATGGAAATATATACAACCTGACTATATTCAGAGAATATTGAACTCAATGTCTCATGATCTGTATCTGGAGGCAAATTTTGAACATAAACTGTACAGTCTTCTATATTTTCTTTTGGTACCATTCGTGTTATACGACGAACCTTCAATCCATCTTCAGATAATGATAACATTGTAGATGCCTCTAGAGCTTTAGCTATTCTGTTTACATCAGTAGTTAGGTCCTTTATTTTATTAAAACTTGTAAAAACATTAAGATCAACATCTAAAACATTTCAAAATAGATTAAAATATATTTTAAGGTAGATATAACTGAAATGGATTTTTAACAAAACTTACATGGATCTTCCTTAAGCAAATTACTTAAGAACCTGTCTTTGTTTAGATTTGCATCACTGAAGTAAAATTCCATTTGTTTAAGTATAGCAGCATGTAAAGCCTTTTTTCTAAGTCTGGGTTTGCTTCGTGAAATGTTTGTTATATTATTAACTGTCTCTAAATGTGATTCTTGTACTGCTTTTTGCACTTGTGGTACAGGAACCCTTTCTGAGTCTAATTCCATATCAGATTCTTGTTCTTCCATCACCATTGTTATTTACAAATTCGTAAAATAAACAATGGTGAATAAATGTGTCCAAATGTTTTCTATTTCCAATTACCTATAATTTCATTTTTAATAAGAACGTAAGTGTTAACTTTATTCGAATGTTTTATAGTTACCTTAGTGCATATCTTGCAGCTAAAATAATACAAATCTCCAATATATCAATGTACATAAATGGCACTCAAAAGTAACGAGATATTTTTCAAGTTTACGATCTCAATTGTAAATGTTTCCCGGTTGAGGAACTTTGCAAACATAAAGCCCAAAATCATATAACATCCAGATGGATTGTCTGAAAAAGCGTTTATATATGATTACCTTGAAGACATCAAAATTACAAATTTATAGGGAATTTGTTTTATTATTTCAGAATCCGTTAAAAACTCTATTCTTTAAATACTACAGTTATCGCGTGAAGGAGTATATACACATATGAAACATAAATTAATACTTACAATTAGAATACAATTTCCTAAAAATATTTAATCACTTAAATTCCTAAATTTCTGTTTATTTCTTAAATATGGTCTTTTATCGAGTTCCTTTCTCTCGTCGATTAAGTAGTTAATGGCAGCCACCCCTGACGCATACCATCACTAAAGTGAATCTGCTCAAAAATCTCAAGTCATTCGTTGATTCGTATGTTCAGTTATTAGAATTTGCTGAAGGAGTTCTGTTTGAAGCAATGGACGAAATGGGTATCATTTTGCCTGATAAGGTATATGCATTTTGATCGATATTTTCTTTCAAAATTTAATAAAAAAGATATGAAATTACATTTTAATTTAATATCATCTGTCGTAACCTCAATCTGTAGTCAGTTTAATTTTTTATGCATCGCTGTTCCCGAAAATTTTACACACTTTTATTAGAAAATAGATTGAAATGTTTAATTCAAATGTTAGGATGTTGGAGAGTTGGATTGCAAGCCCGTAATTGGCCACTATACTGGTGCTGGAGATGAACTGGATGTTGAAGATCTTTATACCAAATACAAGGTAAAATAATCTAACATTCTATTTTTTTTTACATCTGTTTGTTTAAATTTTATTAACTAGTTTTATAATGGTAATTTTATATCCCATAGAAATTACAAAGAATGTTGGAATTTCTTGAAGTCCAAGAAGAATATATTAAGGATGAGCAACGTAACTTGAAGAAGGAATACTTACATGCTCAAGAAGAAGTAAAGCGCATACAAAGTGTCCCTTTAGTGATTGGACAATTTTTAGAAGCTGTAGACCAAAATACTGGTATTGTAGGTTCTACTACAGGCTCTAATTATTATGTACGGATCTTATCCACTATTGACAGAGAGCTGTTAAAGCCTTCTGCCAGTGTGGCACTTCATAAACACAGCAATGCTTTGGTAGATGTTCTGCCACCAGAAGCAGATTCAAGTATCTCAATGCTGCAAGCAGGTAATTACTGCAATTATTATCTAATGGAAAATATGATAGAATTTGTTTTATATATTGTTTTATTTTATAGATGAGAAACCTGATATCCAGTACAGTGATATTGGAGGTATGGATATGCAGAAACAAGAGATTAGAGAAGCTGTAGAACTACCTTTAACTCATTTTGAGCTATATAAGCAGATTGGTATTGACCCACCAAGGGGTGTGTTAATGTATGGACCCCCTGGATGTGGTAAAACTATGCTTGCAAAAGCTGTAGCTAGACATACTACAGGTGCATACCATATTTAAAATTTTATACAATTTCAGAATATCTGTAGAAACGAGATATATATTAACTTGATTTTATTATTATTTTTAGCTGCTTTTATTCGCGTAGTAGGATCAGAATTTGTACAGAAATATTTGGGTGAAGGGCCAAGAATGGTCCGAGATGTCTTCCGTTTAGCTAAGGAGAATTCACCAGCTATAATTTTTGTTGATGAGATCGATGCTATAGCTACGAAAAGATTCGATGCTCAGACAGGAGCTGATCGTGAAGTACAACGTATTCTGTTGGAATTACTGAACCAAATGGATGGTTTTGATCAGACTACTAATGTTAAAGTCATTATGGCTACAAATAGGTAAGATTTTTACTGTATAAAATTAACGAACATAGTCATACCTGGTCACAATAATTTATTCGTATATTTTTCAGAGCGGATACATTGGACCCTGCATTATTGCGTCCTGGTAGATTAGATCGAAAGATTGAATTTCCTTTGCCTGATCGTCGGCAAAAACGTTTAATATTTTCAACAATCACCGCGAAAATGAATTTAAGCGAAGAGGTGGACCTCGAAGATTACGTAGCACGACCAGATAGAATCTCTGGTGCTGATATTATTAAGAAGGATGAATCTGAACACGAATTCTACAAATAAAAAGGAAAGGAGCGTACCGCTACGTGTCGTTTACATTTTATGGCCACATATGTATTTACAAGTTCATGTATTGCTATGAATCTAATAATCAATATACGTTTACACAATTCTTGTCTTATTAATTATACACACTTTATATTTCTCTATATGCAAATTATAAATAACCGATTGTTTGTAGTTAAAAATAGAAAAGATACAGAAGGACAATTATCGCGGGTAATTAACCTGTTATAAAAATTGATAATAAATCCTTTAATGTCAATTATTTCTATTAAATTTATACAATTTAGTAAACAAGATTGTTACATATATATTTTTTCATTAAAACTGTTTCAAATAATATATGACATGAAACTAGTTAAAATTACTTTAGTTGTTTTGATGATCAAATAATGACAAACATCATTGGAATCGTCCATCACGCAATACTGTAAAATGGAGTTGCACCGATGTTTAAAATAATATAATTTATTCGTCATCAAATGCAGTGAAAGATATTGCTACATATTGAACGAAAGTGATATATTTTTACATATTCAGCGCATCACATTTTTATGTCGGTTGATATAGAGACCTTAATCATAACCTACGCGGTAAACAGTAAACAGGGTCTTTTAAATTTTGTAACATACTTCGAAGCTGTTGATTTTTAACACTGCTACAAAATTTTATCACAATGAATTTACCACGATTATTAATAGTAAGCACTGAAAAAGGAAAAGCTAATGAAATTGCGACCAGTAAGTTGAGACTTTACATCTTTCGAATATGAACATCGATGTAAAAAAATCTGACGAATTGAACTTCTGATATAAATAGATGAATAGAAATTACATTCCAATGACTTTTCATGTTTTCTTATTCTTTTTTATCTCACAGGTATAGGAGCAGAAAAATTGTCTAACCAAGATCAGTTTGAATATCATTTGTGGAACATTCAAAATAAATATTACAAAACACAGGTGTTGATATGTGTTACAGAAAATCCTTCTCCAGATATATCAATCGATGGTGTAGAAGCACTCATTGTACATCATGACCCACAAGCAGTAAGATATTTAACTTATAAAAAGAACTTTCGACAGAGCGAATAATTTTCAGCCCTGATTTCCTTAGGAAGATGCAGATCAAAATTTAAAGAATTGGTCATCTTTGATTACTTCTTTGGCAGAAGCAGAAGTGCTACTGTTTTCTTGTAATTTTATAACAGATGTTGTTATTAGAGACAAAGGTATAGTGAAATGACAATTCATGCATAAGTGTCATCCTATTATTGAACATTAAGCATGTTCTTAGTATATTTCAGTGATAAAATGGTGTCTGCAAAACAGATTTGAGTTGATTGAATTAAATAGACCTGATGTAGATGCTTCAGAAGCTGATTCAGAGAATAACAAATATGGTATTGAAAGGATCATTGAAGCTTTACATGCTCATATGTGGCCAAACATGACGCTCAAAGGTTTTCAATAAAAACTATCCTTAAACA